GTTGGTTGTTTCTACTCTCAGTTCCAAGTGCTAACAACTGTTAAAACAACCACTGCATTTTAATTTGCTTATTACATTAAATGGATTTCTCGGAAGTTGGACAAAAACGTCTCGTAGATGATTTAATAAAGACACCACGCACCCACACCTTGCCTTTCCTTATTTAAATCTTCCTCTCAAGCGTGTTGGACTTGGATGGAGTGAATATTCTGGCACAGACCTTCAATGAAGTGCCCCTTCTGAGGGGCCCGGGCATTGCTGGGTGCAAAAGCAGTGTTTCCAGTGGCTCCAGCAAGATGGAGGTAGGAAAAACGCTTGTGCTGGGCAAATTCCCAGAGAACAGCGGTACTGGGATCTTGGAACGAAAAGGGAGTCAGGGCTGTTCCTCAGTTTGGGTTGCAATGCTGCCCTCACCGCATCCCATTTTGGGGTGTGAGTCTCAGAACCATCAAGAAGAAAGGGGAATTTTAGCTACATTTTCCTTCCCTCCACTGAAGATGAAGTTCATTTATTTGACAGCAGATGGCACAAAACCATCTCAAGTCTGGTTTTTCTTCTACTGCACAGGGGCTGAGTGGTCCTTCCCCCTGCGCTGGAGGCAGGTGGCTTGATGGATTTTTTCCTCCCAGAGTTATTTTACTGTCAGGTTTAGATGTATGGAACTGGAAGCACAACTTTCAAACTAAAGCAATGCTTACCTTTACAACACATACCTTCTCTCTTGATCTGGATTTTTTTAATCCAGCAGTAGTTTTATCAGCTAGTGAGACTCTTTCCTTTCAAACCAACTAACTACATTAAACTTTCTGGCCTACAGCTGTTTTCCAGTAAAACTGATTATATTATGATTAATGTAAAAGCCATGGCTTTTATCAATCAAATATACACTAATAGAGCAATACACTTCCATGCACCTGAAAGTTTAATGGAAATAGGTTCTAATAACTTAGAAGTGAAACGCATAATATATTTATAATTAAGCGTTTTGTCCAGTTCACTCAAACTCACATCCTGCAAATACACAGAGTTTTTAAACCATATTTTTTATCTTATTAAAGTCAGTATTCATTTTGACAGTATTAGCCACTTGCACTGAGTGTTGGGCAGTTGCAGAAAACTGCCAGAAGAGAATCTGCCGAAGCCTTTTTGGAAATCAGCACACATGGCTACACGATGAGAAGAGGCTCTGCCTACAACAGGCTTGGATAAATCTTGCCATGTTACCGGACATCACACACCCAGGAAACGCAAAAAGCTTTGCTTTGGCCCAGGCTGCTCCTGAAATAATCAGGTCTGCAAGGGGACACGGGAAGCCCAGATTCTGCCACCGGTCCTCTGGGACCTCCTAGATACAGTCACCCCTTTGCCCCGTGTTTCGGTGCTCGGCAAACCGTTCACAACCACCTCACCAACACAGTTCATTCCCCTGAGAGCCACAAACCACAGGCAGCAAATTACCTTTCTCTCGTTACTTGTTTTGCCGGGATCCCTGCAAGCAGAGCAATGCAAGCCTCCCCGTGCACGCGGTGCTATAAGATGTAGAGTGACCCAAGACTTATTTTTCCAGAGATTTAAACTGCACAGCTGAGTTTTCAAGCAATTTTGCCAATTACTGCACTACAGCGGTGTCCACCAAACAAGCTCTGCCTTCCTGGGTGCCTCCCTATCTCGGGGAATTAAATCCAGCACAGTGCATCTATAGGCTCCTGCAGCAACGTCCCCGGTGGGGTTAGCCCAGATGCCCAGGGTCCACGTTTCTCTTAACCTTTACCTGCTTCCCCTTCCATAGACATCTCCCCGCACGGATGCCAAGCGAGACAGAGCTGGAGGGGGTGCAAGGTGAAATGCCCCCATCCTGTCGCCCACCAGTTTCATTTTAGGGACCTGTGAGGTCACCGATTTCTCAGCAGTCGTCAACACGTAGGAAACGTGAGACAGAGGGGGGAGAAAAGAGTGGAACAGCAGAGAGAAGGAAAGGGGGCAGAGACCCCGGCAGTGATGAAGTCATGGTAAATCTGCTCCCCGCGTGCTGAAAAGGCAGCGGCTGCACCGCGGCCCCGGCAGACGGAGGAAGTCCGCACCGACCGCCTGCGCCCACACCGCAGCATGACTTTCACCAGGGTGCTACACGTCGCGGCTCTGGTCCTGATGCAAGGTAAGCGATCCACATCATCGTGCACAACCTGCCCTTTGCAAGCGGCCCAGCCTGGAGAACTCTGTTTCCAGAGCTTCAGCACGCCACGTGCAAGGCAGCTTTGCTGCTGTTTTCTTGTTGACTGTGCTGTTTTGTCACCCAGTTTCCAAAGCATGCTGGTGCTTAACTCCAGCGCGCTCCTAAAGCCAGCATTGACAAGGTCAGTTCACCTCCTAGCAGCTGGCAGGATGCTTAAGGTGGTGAAGCATCGGAAAATCAAAAGATTCTCCCTTAAATTTAGATGGCAGCTCACTGCTTACTTTCCATGGCTTGGAGGTCTGTGTCTGCTTTTGTTCATGTATTGTGTAAAAGGAGGCTGATATAAGAAGTCAGTGTAATTTAGAAAGCTCTTGCAAAGTACTTTGAAAACTAAAAGCACTTTAAATGCTCAATGCTCCTCACTCCTTACTAGAGGATGTAGCCTATACCTACTCTGCCCATCTCCCCTCTCTCATGCTCAGGAGAGTGTGAGAGATTCATGTTTGACCATGTCAAATAGGGAAA